CGTGTGCTCTTCCGATCTATAATTTGACATCAATTATTGACAACAAATATTTTATACAAACGATATACACATTACTTTGATTGAATAAGATAATTTTTTTAACTTGACACCATTTACTGATATAAAATCTTTTATATAAGTATACATATATACACTACCCCCCAAAAAGTCGCTGAATTTATTGCGGCACTGTGCTCAATCAAAGAGATGATTTTGGCATTTTAAAAGATACTTTAAATACTCTATGACGATTTTAAGTTTAACGCATCCCTACAACTCTAAACTTTCAAATCTGAGAGGCATGTTTACCATATTGAAAATTGCAATATTCGACGTAATGCACGGCCTTAGGAAAATTTTTCTCGGGAATGCGGTTTGACACGTGATAAAGTTTGAATCTTCCTCTTTAATTAAAAAAAAAATGCAAGCTACGATTTTTTTCGCAAAGTTACAGCATTTTAAAGTAACCCTTGTATTTTTCTCATGTATGATCGGCATTACCCTATTTGGTTTCTACGAAGAAAAATAAATAAGAAAATGTAGAAAGAAAACGATCCCTGAGCGGTTGTGAAAACGCCTAAAAGTACTCTCCTTTAAATTTTTTTGGGACTTTGAGTGTGATAGATCGTACCACTAATGATCAATCAATCTGTTTTTATTTCTTTTAGCCGCAGATAATAAGAAAAGCGGGTTATCCCGTGGAAACTCACGTTATACAGACGGAGGATGGTTATCTCTTAACACTTCATCGTATCCCAGGTGACACGAATCAGCCACCCGTGTTGTTGCAGCATTGTTTGTTGTGCAGCTCCGCTGCCTGGGTCATTTCCGGCAAGGATAAAGGACTTGGTAACAACTTAATCAATTTAAAAAAACCGTTGATTATACTTCTATCGATATAAATTTAAATTCTAACGGAAATATCATAAATAAAATTGATCGTCAATTCGATGATGTTACAAGCATTCTAACTGCAGTAAAGATCTTATTGCGAAAAATATTACTTTAGCCAAAATTCGAATCTGGAACCTCCCGATTCTATCAAAGTCAGAGAGGTGTTTTACTTAATTGCCTTAGTATATCGAATAAATTTTGACTTTTTATCCCCTCATTATTTGTTGTATACTAAAGTATACAACAAAAACAACATTTTGATTAAAAACAATATTTTCCTTTTTATGCTAGCTTTTATATTGGCCAATCAGGGATACGACGTTTGGCTGGGCAATTTTCGTGGAAATGTCTATTCAAGAGCGCATGTTTCTTTATCTCCATCGGATTCAAAATTTTGGAATTTCAGGTACTTATCCTGATATAAATTGAGAAAAGAACAGTGTGTTAAAAGTGACATAGTTTTAACAATAATATATATGATTTAATTTGTATTAAAAAATAACAACAGTTGATTAAATTTATACTTATATAAGCAGTATACTTTTGTTGTATGTATTTTGTGATGTACTTTAATCAAAATTTTTGTCAGCTTTCACGAAATGGGCATTTACGATTTACCCGCGACGATCTTGTATATCAAGAATACGACATCGCAACCATTGGATACGTACATTGGTCATTCGATGGGTACGACTGCATCTTACGTGATGGCAGCGGAACGTCCGGATATTGCTCGAATGGTGCGAGCGATAATTAGTCTCGCGCCTGCAGCTTTTATGAAACATACAAAAAGTCCATTACGATTCATTGCTCCATTTGCGGACAATTTTCAGGTAATTAATATACCGTTGAGATCTAAATTTACCATTATTATATAGCGATCTAACAATTCAATACATCAAACAGTCAAAAGACATCTAGTGTTAATTTACGTTGTCTTATCATTTTACGCTGTAGTCTATCCCAAAAGTAAAGAAATTATTTTTGGCGTCTCAATCAGAATTGTCGGTGAGTGGATCCGTTGGTCGAGGCCTTTGATGCGGGATGTCAATTAGAATACAGTCTAATTATCCTTTTTAGTTGCCACCGAGCTTTTCTAGTAATCGATACCGTCAGTAAAGTGCAATGTAATTTTTGTGTCTTCTCGGAAATTTAGCAGTCTCGAGTAGCGATTAAATTCTGGGTGAAACAGAGAAAATCTAGCTTTTCCGAAACGTTGGAGATGCAGTTGAGAACAGATTATGGGAATGCTGCTTAATTTGTCTTTAGAATTTGATCGCGTAACGCTTCTCAAAATACAGCACAGTCTGTGCTGAATTTTCGCCCGTGACAATAAGACACACAAATTACAACGTATTTTACTGAGTCGACTATTAGAAAGACTTGGAAGTAATTAAGAAGGGTCAGATTGTATACCTGACGTTCCGCACCAAAGGCCGTGTCCAATGGATTTACTTTTCGACAATTCTGATTGAGCCCCCAAAAATAATCTCTTACTTTTGGGACGAATCATGTTATATATATATATATTTTTTATTATAATTTTAATAAGATATTCATTAACGAATTAAGTTTAAGACCAAAGGTCGCTAGTATAAATCCAGTTAGAATCGTTAAAGTGTTTCACGAATATTGATTCATTTTTAAATACACAGTGAAATTATACAAGTAAATTATGTCGCGATTAAGAGATCCGGTGATTATAGATAATAGCGCACTTCTTTGGCCACGGCGAATTGCTGCCGCAGAACGATGTATTGGAATTTTTGGCGAAAGTCGGCTGCGAAACATTCCAC